GGAGTTTTAACGGATTAAGTTCCGGGATAAATTTTGGAAGGCAGATGGGTTTGTAGATAAGACACTACCCAGAGATTTCGTCCTCATTTGGTGAGGACTTTATGATCTGAGTTATGGTTTCCTATAGGCACAAGCCCCTATAGTTAATTACATCTCCCGATTACGAGAGAACTTTTGATTAAGGCTAATCATCGATCAGATACGTTATATCCATAGATACGCGGTATCAAGTATATAATAACAGCAATGAGTTTAAGAATTTTGGGATTTGGGTTTCGATTTAGAAATGTTGGATATTTAAAATAGAAAATTTCACCATCTTGCACTTAAAGCGGATGGTGGGGGAATGGATAATGGGCCCAATCAAGATCCTATGGTTCCGTCGTCCCGAGCCATTGTGGTCCCTGGTCTACTTAGTCAGAGGAGGTAGTCAACCCAACCTGACAGAAGGATCCTTGTCGGCAGCCATGGGTTGCTTCGTCCAAGGGGACCTTGTGGACCTGGGTTGAATATTTGCCTAAGGGGACAAATTTGAATCCACCTTAGCTAACAGAGGGCTTTGTGCCCTATTGATCATATCCTATTGATTCATATCTCAAGGATTTGATGTCAATAAGGAGCATATTGGCTCTGGCCATAACCGGTATTACGTGGTGCCATTTGGTGGCAAGACCACTTAGTTCAGAGGAACCCGGGTCGTCATAACCATTTATCCTGCGGTGTCATTTGGCAGCAAAACCGCCGGGGTTAGAGGACACGTACCATGTCCTTACTGGTAGGAGAATGAATCCTAGTGATATTTTCGACTAGACATTTGGCTCTATGTGAGCTTAAGTAAATTTTAATTTGTCTACCTCGGCAAACTATTGCGAAGGGTGGATGAATTTTGCTTTAAGTGTTTGATGATTGGATTTCAATTTTAAATATTTTGGAGATTTTGGGATTTTGGATGGCATTTTTGGAGTTTGAATTAACCCCTCCGGTTGAGATAAACATTCAACACGGCCATCATCGGGGTGTTTGAAGTCTTTTCTCTATGTTGATTGAACCCTGTCAACTCGACCTGGCTGTTGATCGAGGATCGGGTTTCTTATAAGCTTTGTGCCTTTGATTATGAATTTTCTTTGTTGAATGCCTTGAAGGCCTAATATGAATGCATAAAATAAATATTCCAGTCAATTTCGTGACCGTATATTTATCCAATGTTTGAATCCTATCCACTCCTATTTACTTGCTTAAGAGGATCGGGTTTTGTAGGCTTCGTGCCTTTGTTAGTGAATTCATACTGTTATAGGCCTTGAAGGCCTAATATGAATGTATTAAAACAAATACACCGGTCGCCACAACTGTGTATTTATTTGAAGGTTCGAACCCTGTCGGCTCCTATTGATCCGTATAGAAGTATCAGGTTTGAACCTGAATTCACTTACTGACCCGCGCAGCATCCCTAGACGTCACGTGTATACCAATAACACACTCGCCGGGGCCCATGCGGGTATCTGATTATACTTACCCCTATAATGTACCTATGTGTATACAATTTATGGTGCACGTGCAGGGGTTTCTTGAAAGTACTTATAGACGCCTTATGTCCGCTTGCAATGATGTTACGGATCCGGTGGCGTAGCATCACCTTGGTATTGACTCCCCCTTTCTCATTCACCGGGAAATTATTTCGGACTTTGAAGTTTGTGACTACTTCCTTGAAAAGAGCTCCTTTCAGGGTCTTTAGTGTAGTGGACTTGTTATTTCTGATATTTGTGAACGCCAGAGCTATTCTCTTCCCAAGAATAGAACCAAAAGAAACTTCGGAACACCATGAAGCTTAGTTCTAATTTGTTCAAACTTCTCTTCCATTCTGCCAAGAGGCGTCCCTTTTCGTATGCCGGGTTGCCCTCATGCCTGACGTATTTGAAGATCTTAATCACTGTTGTCGTACGTGATATTCGTACTTGTGTCCACAGTGGTTCGTTGTGCTTTACAAGACATCTAATGTTATTATCCACAACTAGCATGTGTACATTTGCGGGAATCCGTTGTATCCACTACGAGCTCCTAGGAGTATTCGTAGAAGAGCTATTTACATCAGTATCATATTCACCTTTCACCAATTTCAGGTGGATTTTGTTGACTGTATTTGTTTGCAAGGACGGGTCGTACACATTGACAGTATCATCTACAAGGCGTCGATATATTCAATGACTCATCTTGATGTGACTTGTTGTATACAAGACAAGTTTCTCCTATTAACTTCAGGTGCCTCCATTTCGATCTACAGGAGGACTGTTGTTTGCATAACAGGTCTTTGATTGTAACACGTGGATGATAATTGTACGTTTCATAGTTTGACTAATATCATTAACAAGTCATTTATGTTTGAAAACTTCTTGCCACTTGTCCTTCGCATGTGTCAAATGCTTGTGTTCATCTTTTAGGATTTTCACATTTTAAGAGCACGAAGACCCAATTCCGTGCAGTCCGCATTGAGTTCAAGTTTTTGTTCAGGATCTTTTGAAGTTCTTTTGAGTCTGATTGCATATTCAATTTCATCTGGACTTGAGACAGCTGCATACAAGTTTACGTGCTATGTCCACAATTAGTGAAATCCTTGCAAACTCATTTCATGCTTATTTGATTTGAATCTGGCTTTAGCATGATTTTAATTTATTTGGCCTTTTATTAGTCACTTGAGTTTTATTCAAGTTCAAGTCTAAGAGTCCTCTGTTCGTGTTCAATCAAGTTCAAAAGTCCACAAATCTGAGTCCACTGTTGTTCATTCGAGTCCCAATACTTGTTCTATGAAGTTCAATCAAGTCCATACTAAAGCTCTTGCTTGAGTTCAAATCATAGTTTGAGTTCAAGTTCTGGTTTTCTACGGTCCCTTGAGTTCGAGCCATTCTTTGTTTCGTTTGTATTTGAAGTTATTATTGATTGTTTAAGTTTGAATTAAGTCCATTTGATACTCCAATCAATGTCCACGTAAAGCTCCATATTGTCCCAAGTACGATTTCATGCTTACCCGAAATTTCGGCAGCCTTCCGGCATCTCCCTTGTTTAGGGGAAAACTATGAAAAACTGGGCCTCCCGTCACGCTAGAGAAAAGCGTGCATAGTAGGTGCCCTCGGACGAGGACACCGCGGCCGTAATATTTGTTTCCCCACCACGCCAGAGAAAGGCGTGCATGGATTTTCGGGCATCAGTTCAAAATAAGCAATTTATAATAGACCCCGCCTCGCCGTAAGCGTCGCACCGGGTTCCCTTCGCACCACGCTAGAGAAAAGTGTACACGAGTTGGTTTTCCGGTCCGACACTAATGCCGAAAATGGGGGGTTTTGATTACCCGTCCCGTTGCAAGCACCGCAACGAATTCCCTCCTACCACGTTAGAGAAAAGCGTGCATAGGTGGTCGTTCGCCGCCTTCTTTTTGGCTGCACAGTAGAGGTCAACACCATCGCTCAACTACGATCTTTTTGACCTCCATTGCCAACCACTGCTCTTCTGAACTTTGTCACTCATCGACTACGGTCCCTCCGACATCCTTTGCCCCACTACGGTCCCTCTAACTTCTATCGCTCGACTATGGTCCCTCCAACTTTCGTCGTCCGACTACGATTCCTCTGACCTCAGTAGCCCAACTACGGTCCTGTAAACCACCATCACCCGACTACAGTCCCTTCGGCCACAATTGTTCCCTAATTACGGTCCTTAGGCTATAGTTGCCAGCCAGCTATTGTCCTTAAACCACCGTCACCCGACTATAGTCCCTTTGACCTCCGTCACCCGACTACGACACCCCTCGACCTACGTCACCTGCCGACTATGGTCCCTCCAACATCTGTAGCCGATGGCTACAGTCCTTAGACCACTGTCGCCCAACTACGATCTTTCTAATGCTCTTTGCTAACAACGATCATTCTAACCTTTATCACTCACCGACTACAGTCTCTCTGACTTTTGTTACCCAACTACCGTACCATTGACCTTTGTCTCCCAATTACCATCCCTCTAATCTTTGTCGCTCAACTACAAGACCTCTGTTGTCCGACTATGATCCCTAACACTAACGTCGACCGACTACGGTCCCTCCGACCTCCGTCGCCCGACTATGTTCCTCAGAACACCATCACCTGATTACAATCCTACCGACCAACGAACAAGCCAACTTTCTATTTAGAACAGCTCTCATGTCATTGGATTATTCCAACTCTAACCATGTAATGTACTATGTACGATGTATATTTGTTACATTATGCCAATACCTTCCCTTGAGGAAAGGCATCATTTGTAATCAACGACAAATACTATTAGAATCATTTCAACTATGCAAGGCCCCGTGACTTTTTTCCTTTTCAAGATTATTTACATACAAATTCTAGTGTCTCTTATGATCCTTGCACTACTCTCTTTTATCTTTATGTATAGTGAATTTTCATTCAAAACTAAGTTGTCAAACTCTCCATCTCTCTACTGCCACGAATGTTCCAGCACACAACAAAGGTCATGATTAAAAAGAATTTGTATCATGGAAAAGTTTGTTCGAGGAATTGTACAGCCACTAAGAAGCTATAAAATTGTTCAGTAACGTTTGCATGATACTAATAACAGGTCATCTGAACTTCCTGAAAGTAGATAGAACTGTGTGAATATCTATTCATCTCTTTGATGCCTCTATAGTTTACATTTTAGGCAAAGTACTTTGCATTCAAAGAAGAAAATAGTTTTAAGGGGCATCCATCATCAGGAACATATAACTAGGCTGAAAGAAATGACTTAAAAACATTACAATAACACACCACTTGGAAATTTTTATGAAGTTTAATCTCCAATCAAATGAGAAGCTGTATTAACATAATTTTATGGTATGCATGTACGTCTAACCGTCGAAAAAAATTTTATGGTAACGCATTTACGTAATTTGATGCCTCTCTATATTATATTTGTCGTATGCATGTATATTGGTTCAAGCCTGTAACCGTAAAAAAAAAATTAAAAATAGTTACCTGGTCTAAATTATTCACAGCTTTTATTAAAACTGAAGAATAAACCTTGTGAGGCTTGCCGTTTACAATTTCTTCCTTTTCTTCAATGTAGGCAACACGTAGAGACGGATACCTTCATTTATGAAGCAAAAAGGAAATTGAAACTTCCAAAAATAAAAATTAAAACACACACACACACAAAAGAGCATACAACCTATTACTGAGCAGACCTTGACATCAAATCAATAATATCTTTAGCATGAGAATCCCCTAAAGATTTTTGTAATCCAAACATCTGACAGGAGATGACGTATGTGAATTTCATGTCAACTAGTGCATCTAGCTTTGCTGCCAGGGAGTGTTGACTGTTTTTCTGATTGTTATCTCTTTCAATGGCAATGCATCCTTTGGCAATATCTGATTAACAAATTTATAGAAAAGAATAAGAGAAAATATGAATATGCTCTAAATATGATCATTTTACTTGATAACAATAAAAAAGCAATGTTAAGATGTAAATATGTAACTTAGGAAGACTACAAATCTAAGATTGGCTTCTTTTGGCTGAAAATTACCTTGATTGCTGGCCATGTCCAGAAATGCTTGAAATTTCAACGCTTTCCTATAATACATCATTCCCCTTACTATTTCAATCATAAAAGATTGAAGGCGTATGTTAGATCAAGGATTGCAATTGAATATACTCATGCTATAACTTCATGCTATAACTTTTTTTGAAACGTCAAATCAATAGCAATGGCTGTTCCATTTTTTTTTTCCTTCACCTGTTCGGCTCAATGTTTGTCCACGGAAAGAAGCCCAATATTGAGTGTCCTCGTCAGTTGGGTTATAGTTGAATCTTTCCAGAAAGTTCTTCCACTCATCTGAAGTAATTATAATGAGCAAATCAAAAGCGCTAAAACTAAAGCTTCATTTGGGACAGCTTTCTTACTTCTTAAGCAGCTTTTTAGTACAAAAAATTAATTTTTTTTTACTTAAAAACTGTTTTAAGAAGCAGTAAGAAATTCGTCCCAAACGAGGCCTAAAATGAAATTTAGTGACACGATATATTGATCTAATTACACACCAGTACCTGGATATATCTTTTGCATATAATAGAGGATGGATGCACCACCATCTTCATTTAAATGCAGTTCATCATCAGAAAATTTAACCTCTTCCATGAAGTATGGAGTCATTACACTAATGCAAACAAAAACGTTACCAATCATTTTCAACTAATTACAGTTTCTATTGCTTGATTCTAGTTTAGGACTAAACCAGTGCAACTATAAAAACGAAGTAATGTTCACAAAACATGATGCATGCAATGATGATTGTTTGACCAGCTAAGGAAATAGAACATGAGAAAGAACACTGCATTTTATATACACCAGGGAAGAAAGGGAAAATAGCAGTAGATGAAACTATAAATCAAGTTAAAGTTCAAAGAAATAGCGTTAGTATATGAGGTTTGCTTTCCTTTTTTTTTTTTTTTCATTTGTTGAATTACGGAGGATTTAGTTGATCATATGTAATATACTAATATGTATAAACGGGTAAATCTCATCATATACATCATACTTGAAAAAGGAGGCAAAAGACTCCCCAGCGCCATTAGTAATGATAGGTAAAAAATAAGTTAAAAATAATCACAATCAGCCATTTCAGATACATTTCAGCTAGCATTGATCTGATGACAAAAAAAGTATCAAGTACATGAGACTTATTGACAATGTAAAGGTTAACGTACACAGCCAAACCAATGATCATTGTAGTTGGATATATTTATAAAATTTCATCAAAATTTTTATGGTTAACCAAGTTTTGTCGCATTTTAAGTCGTCATGTACAATAATTACTTAAAAACAAACCTCGATGTTTCCTTCTGCTCTGCCTAATATTAATTATGCAATCTTGATTTATTGGAACTCACAAACTAAAGATAGAGCAAACTTTTTATGCATAGATTTCACATTTCCAAATTGTGACAACCCATGTAAAGAAATTAATCCACTAATTAGTATATTTTCCTAGGTATGCAGAAGATTAAATGTACTTTAACTAAAATAAAACTCATAACAAAATGTTGTTGAAAGCTTTTCATTACATTCTAAATGATAAAACATCTTAAATAAAAATATAATATGCCGGTTCGACCGGTTCAACCAATAACAAATCATACGGCTAGTTTGGTTCATATTAAAATCCGGCACACCATTGAACCAGTCAAACCAAGAACCGGTCAAAATAGTTGGTTCGATAAGGAACAGTTGAACTGGTCCTAGCTCCTTCAAGAATTGGTCGTAACAATGTTATTTGATTAAAATAATAAATAAAATAATTTCGTATAAAATATTATTAAATATAATAAATTAATTTAAATTAAACATAATTATATGTTATGATGAGCATTAAATTTACATATTAATTATTTAGCAACCAACCACCAACAAAACTAACTCACATAATCTCACCACCCCATGTGACCAC